TGAAGATAGAAGAGTTTGTTGAATCTGACGTGACATGTTCGTACGAACCCTTTGTACGAACAAAAGAGAAATTTAGGAGAAGAATACGAACATGTTCTTGCATGAGGCCCATTGTTTAGATTTTAGTTCATTCATTCATTACAAACTTTACCAAAGCCCCCAATAAATGTAAAAAAAACCATTAAAAATCATAAATATGGCTGTAATTACTGAATAACTTCTTCTTACCAGGCGAACAAAGCCAAAGCTCCGCTCTCTGTTGATGAAAACGTCCCTGATGTTTCCAWATTTGGCGAACAGGTTTCTGAACTCCTCCTCCTGCAGGTCCAGCGGCAGGCCGCCCACGAACAGCCGAGCGCGCTGGGTGAACGGCTTCTCCCCGGGCCGCCGAAAGCTGGAGATCTCCAGGGTCATCAGTGACGGGCCTTCGCCACTTTCCTCCGCGGCTCCCTCCGYMTGTTCGACCGAAGAAGAAGGGGACCGCTGCTGCTGCTGCTGCGGGGCCGGGGCCGGGCTACCTTTGTCGTAAACCGGAGTCTGATTCTCCGACACCGGGGAGTCCGTCCCTCGCTTCGGCGGTGCAGCGGGAGAAATCCCGCCCAGCATCCTCCCCTGCTGCATATTTCGGTTCGCCATGAGTCTTTGTGCCACAAAATATAAGGTTGAATTCGGTTTACTTTACAAAACAAACCTGAAATTTAATCTRCAAGACCCTTCAGATTATAAATATGGCGACGGATGCGCGCGCATCTTTCTGTTTAATTCTGCTCAGATTTAAGGCGCATTCGGCGCTCTGCTGCCCCCGGCCGGCCAAATGTTATACTTTTATAAATTGTGAAAAAAATATATATAGGATAAGGTCACTATTATTTTTCCGGCAGATTCTGTTGGAAGCAGCTTTTGAAGAACTTGTGATAAGTCTCACAGCCTGATGTTAAAACGTGGAAGACTGTGATTACTAACATTAATCAAACATACAGCGTTGAGGTTTATACACAAATGTTGATYACAGCGTTTCAATCATTTTAATCGATTGGAAGCTGCTGAGTAGCAGCAGGTTTTATAGAATGTAATGTAAATGTATGTAACTTATAGCTTAACTTTAAGTAGCTTAATGTAAGTAACCTCAATTAACTTATCTATTTATTACAGAGCCTGCGAGGTGACATGGGAGATATTTTTTTCTTTTGCGTTTCCACGCAGTAC